AGCCTCCGCCAGCAAAACTTCATCCTCATTATTTTGAGAAGAGATCATCTGTAACACCACTGTCAAAATTGACAGAAGAATAAGAACCCTAGAAATCCTAGGGATGAAAACACCACTCATACGAGTGTGTACCACTTTTTTAAGTTTAGACGAACAAAAGTCTTCGTCATTCCTCTCCAAACGGTGGCTCACCCTTCTAGGGTTTGCACATGAGGCGGCACTCTACTAACTGAGATGAAACTTTTAATTTGTGTCCTAAATATTTCAGTTTTTGAAAATTTAAAATGACATAATTTTAACAATACTTTAAAAAAATTAATTTATAATAATTAATAAATTAATTAAAGTGTGGTTAAAATAAAGACATTAATAGTGTAAAATTTAGCAATATTACACCTAAAAAGATATGTTTACAACGTTAAAGAAGAATGATTGATTCTGTAGTTCAATGTTAAGTGCCCGAGACATTGTACTTGCAGAAGCCAAGAACTATTTTTAAAATATATCCCATTCATGCTGTGATTGCGCTCTTAAAATGATGCGAATGAACGTGTCAAATGGTAGCAAAAGTAATAGAATTACAAGTTAGGGCCAAAACTCAGAATCTAACGTGATTAGTCATAATTAAGAACTAAAGAACTAGTTACACGTTATTATTGCAATTTGCAATTCTTTAGGTCACTCCAAAAGTGATGTTAATGCATTGACACCAAGTGACAAAGTACTTCATTTACTAAGAATGTAAAAAGTGTCAAATAAGTCCATTTACTACTACGAAAATGTCAATTAAGGATGTTTTCTTTTGAATTGTTTTCAATCACAGACCAGACTTAAACAGATTAGACCAGACCAGACTTAAACAGACCAGACCAGACATATGTAGTTATAAAATACACAGAGACCAGACGTTTACCAGACCAGACTAGGGATGGCAATGGGGCGGGTTTGGGGCGGGGGTACACTCCCCCATCCCCCGCCCCATGTCTAAAAAGTTCCCCCCATCCCCGCCCCATCCCCCGTTACTCCCAGACCCGCCCCATCCCCGCCCACCCCATTGTCCCCCACGGGTGTCCACGGGTGCCCGCATATAAATTTAATTATCGTATTTGCATATACTTTTAATCTCTTATTATAAATATATGTAGTGCGATTATATTCCAATGAAAACGATGCTTAACGTGTGAACACTCACATTTAATCCAATGTGATACACAATAATCCAATGTGATACACAATAGAGTCATTCTAGTGCACATTTGGACTTCGCTCAATACAAGCTAATATAAAAAATCACGGTGGAACTTTTGTAAATATTATGCTAGATACAAAAAAGTGCATTGTGCGAGCTGCTTCACATTGAGGGTAAATGTGGTTTTCGCACGTTCTCATGTTAAACATTGTTCTCATTTGATACTAAGCCTATATATATCTACGCGCACATAGTGATATATGATACACACACGCACGCAACACTGAAGTATTGTGTTAATTAAAAGTTAATACCACCAATTTTAATAATTCTTCAATTTGAATAAGTTTTGTGAATTGAAGACAATTAAAGTAAAAATATAAGTAAACATATTATCATCATGTACGTTGTTTCAAAATTCTCAACAATTATAATACAATTAATTACATATTATATTACAAATAAATGTGTGTGTATTTATTTACTCGCTTTATACGGAGTAACATTTATGATAAATATTTTTAATCATCACTAGCTTATAATTATTATTCTAGTATAATATGTATTAATTCATTAACCATGATTAAACCGTATACAATTATGTATGTCTATATGTATATGCGTTTGTTATATACTACAAATAATTTAATTTAATATGTGTGTACATTATTTATATATGTGTATTTTTTTTATCAAATTGTAGTATACACATATATACTCAAACATATATATACACATATATTTATATATGTGTATATATATGTTTGAGTATATATTTATAATGGGGACGGGGCGGGTGTAGCAATACCCGTCCCCCGCCCCATATTTTAACGGCATAAAAATATTTCACTCATCCCCGCCCCCGCCCCACCCCAAGCCCCACCCCATCCTTCCCCGCGGGGCGGTTCCCACGAGTCCCCGCCCCCATTGCCATCCTTAGACCAGACCAGACTTAAACAGACCAGACCAGGCCACACCAACAAATTTCAGTCCAAAACATCCTAAGTCCATCAACTCAAATATCACTCAATTAAACATGTGAACTTGTAAAAAACGTTCAAATTGGCTTTTTACTAGGTAATTATCCGGTCATCAAATAAATGGCGACAGTGACATGTGGCCACTCTTTCTTCTCTCCTTCTCTCATCCTCTATTTCAGTCTTTCTTCTCTCCTTCTCTCTTCCTCTCTTTCTTCTCTCCTTCTGCTCCCTCCAGTTCCCTGTTTTCTTTTACTTTCATTTTTAATCTCTCCCACTTTGGCTTAATCTCAACCCCAAGCTACTCCATGTTTCTCATTTTTCGTTGTTTTTTTGGGTTTTGGTATACCCATCCCATCCATGGATATACAAGAAAAATAAGAAACATAAATAAAATAACAAATTGATGGAAAAGATCAGCACTTCATGAGACGAAACGTGTTGGGGTATATCACGTAGGGGTGATAATCGAGTACTTGGATTGCTTAAGGATCGTGTAAGTTCACTTTCCGAATTGATATTTCTCCCCTATGCCTGGGTTACAAGAAATTCAATCTAGGATAATTTGAGTTACAACTCTAGAATTTAGGCACAAGAACTAGAGCCAAACTAGTCTAGTACATGGATTGTTATCTTTAATTTGAGTGCCAAAGTGATGAAGATATGTTGGATATGTTTCCTCTATCTCCTCTGTACGAAATATGGTGGTATATATCCATATTCACCGTCCTAGGCAGTTGCAACACGTTTAAGAATAACCGCAGCAGTTTTTGGGAAACTGCTAGAAACTGTCTAACTGTTCTAGAACTCGGTCTAGAACCACAGAACTGGTCTACTGAAAGTTATACCTCGAGTTCTACCTCGAGTTCCACTAATGTAGACACTTTGGAATTAAACTAGTTCTTGTATACAAGTGTGCACTCCTCACCTACTAACTTGTATTAGATCATAGTTCTAATTCTCATTGGCACTCATGTCATTTCCAATTACACAAAACGGCCGGTGACACTAAAATCACCAACAAAACGTTGGTAAGAGAGGAGGACAACATTTGGTGAAAAGGACAGACGCTCTCCTTACCGGAAATTGGTCTGAGAAGACGACCGGAGCTTGGATCGATTTCTATGGCTTCGCGGGAGGTTAACCGGGGAAGAAGACCAACGTTCGGATCCAGTGGGCAGCCAGACTGGTGATTGTAAAATATAGAAGCTAAGGAAAGAAAGCAGGGAAAGAAAGAATGAAAGGGAAAGAAGGGAAGCAAGGGAAAGAAAGAGACGCGGTAGAGGGGGAGTCGGGTTGGAGAAGAAAAGGGAATGGGGGAAGAAAGAGAGAAACAAGGAAAATAAAGAAAGAAAAAGAAAAACAAAAAGAAAAAGGAGAAAATGAAAATACAAAAATTAAATGGCACGGCATATGCTTTTACTTGGAACCGGAATGTTATAGGCTAAAAAGTCAATTTGAATTTTTTAAATGTTCGTGGGTCTAATTGGATGATATATGAGTTCATGCCCTTAATTGACATTTACGTAATAGTAGGGGGGGCTTATTTGACACTTTTCACAATAAGAATTAATTATGAATGCTCATACAATTGTAGATGGCTTCACTCCAAAAAGGCATAATATTAAATATTTTAATGGAGCGTGGTAATGTTTTTAATTGGATTCATTTCAAATGACGAATGAGACGTTTAGCGGAGCAAATATTTGGCAACTACTACAAATTAAAGAGCACATATTTGGTATATATGTGTATTAATTGGCTGTATATTTTGTTATGTAAAATAGATGAGTGTTTTAGTTGCATAAATATTCAGCATACTCTCAATAATAAAACACAGAAAACAGCTTTGATCTACAAAACACTCATGTGATTTCACTACCAAATCAGACCAGTTTTGACCATATCAGATATAAAAAAATCAGATCTAATCACACTAAATTAACAAATTTTTAATTCAATTAAAAAGATCTTAAACATCCTAAAGAATCAGATCAATTCAAATACAAGGTGGTAGAGTACATTATAAGTCGAGGTACAAGCCTAATATTAAAGGCGAGAGAGAATATATATAACAACAGTTTTGTCATTTTAGTCCCGTGACTATTATTTTAAGAGAATATTACCCGAAATAGGAGTAGAAAAGTTTGAAAATTCAAAAATAGGACTTCCATGTTTTTATTCCCAAAATAGGACTTCCATGTTTTTATTCCCAAAATAGGACTAATTACTGTCATGTTTTGGCAGTATCTGACTTCAAACATGACAGTATTTTCCAAAGTTGGCAGTAATTACTTCTATTTTGGGAATAAAAACATAATTCTGTTTTGGAATTTTCAAACTTTTTTAGTTCTATTTCGGGAACTTTCCCTTATTTTAATGACACTTTTGACGCTCAACTTCGAAGTTTTCGACTCTCAGTCCTTCGACATATTGTGCGAAAAACACTTTTAGTATCCGTCTTTGAAAATTTCCATATTTAGTCCTTCAGCTTTCATAATAGTTACACTTTTGGTCCTTCAACTGTTATAATAATGAACTTTTAGTTCTCCACTTATTATGTCAAAATCATAACGAAATGATTAAAAACGTCAATTTGATAATACTCATGAGACTAAAAGTGGGAAACTTTGAAATCGATGATTAAAAGTGTCTCTTGCACAATAATTGAAACTAAAATTAGAAAAAATTAAAAATCGAGTATCAAAAGTGTCACTAACACAACACAGAGAACCAAAAGTGACAAAAACATGATTAAAAATGATGTTTTAAAATGACAAAAGTGTCTCACACAAGTCACAACTATCCTCTATATAACAACAACATGATTAAGCTACTCCGACCCGTATTAAAATGGTATCCAACAAATTAAATTATGGACTACTTTACAATTGGCTATGTTGCTTTGAATAATGAATCATTATTTGACCAATAAACATTTGGACTGATCGAGGACGACGGATGTCAAGACCTTCAGGAAAACGAGGCTCAACAAACCAAGTACTTATTAACCAGTAGCTTGTCAAAACTCACGAGTTTTTGTCTCAGCTCTGTACATCGATCAGAGGAAGGGCCAGCCAAACGAGGTGCAAGGAGCTATCTAGCTAGTCAGCTAATAAAACAGAGAGAAAATTTTAACTACTCAAACATGTCTTCTGCGTCAAATTACCAATCCTACCCTCCTCTGTTTCGTCCATCCGCAGAAGCAAAAACAGGGGAGTCGTTAAATCCGGCGGTGAAGTCAACGGCGGTAGGAGACGGCGACTACGACGGCGTTCCGGTCATAGATTTCGGGTGCATGACGGAAATAAGGGCGGCATGCAGGGAGTGGGGATTGTTCAGGCTGGTCAACCACGGAGTCCCGGAAAGGTTAATGAGTCAAATGCTGGAACGCACCGAGAAGGTGTTTTCCATGGCGTTTGAAGCCAAGCGAGAAGCTTTCAGGGACGCTGAGATGTCGTACTTCTGGGGAACTCCGGCCGTCACGCCGTCCGGGGCGGCGGTAGCCTCCAAGAGCAGCCGCAGCCCTCATTGGATGGAAGGACTGAACGTGCCACTCAAACGCGTGTCTCAATATCATTGCAAAGAACCGACATCGTTTAAGTATTTCAGGTAAGGGAAAGTTCCCGAAATGGGACTAAAAAAGTTTGAAAATTTCAAAATAGGACTGTCATGTTTTTATTCCCAAAATAAGACTAATTACTGCCAAATTTGGAAAATACTGTCATATTTGAAGTCTGGTACTGCCAAAACATGACAGTAATTAGTCCTATTTTGGGAATAAAAACATAGAAGTCCTATTTTGGAATTTCCAAACTTTTTTAGTCCCATTTTGGGTAATATCTCTTCAGGTAACATGTTTTTCTGATTGAATTAAAAGTTACGCTATAGGGTCATTTAACTATGGGAAAGTTCCCGAAATAGGACTAAAACAATTTGAAAATTCCAAAATATGAGTGACATGTTTTTTATTCCCAAAATAGGAGTAATTACTGCCAAGTTTGGAAAATACTGTCATGTTTGAAGTCTGGTACTGTCAAAACATGACAGTAATTACTCCTATTTTGGGAATAAAAATATGACAGTCCTATTTTGGAATTTTCAAACTTTTTAGTCCTATTTCGGGTAATATCTCTTTAACTATATCTCGTACTTCTCCCGTTCTTATTTAGTTGTAACGGTTAACATTTCATACTTGCTAACACACATCTTTGACCGTAATTATATCTTAATCCCTATTAGTATAAAATATTTAAAAATTAGATTCTGAAAATTTGTAATGAGATGAATTAAACAATATAATTAAAAAAAATAATTTTCATAAAATAATAATATAAAATGTAGTCAAAGTAGAACATGTGAATAGTGTAAAATTCAACATGTTGCGATTAAAAAGAGACAGAGGGAAGTATAATTTTTATTTTATATTATGAATAAAATATATTTTAAAGATTTTTTATTCAGTACAATCAATTCAATCACGCGAGAACTTTCAATGTTACTAAACGAGCTCAACCACGCGAGAACTTTCAATGTTACTAAACGAGCTCAAGTAATAATCCATATAACTATAATATACATGTGATTTATTGTACTTTAATAGTTTAATGTTTTGTAGTAGTCACTTTATTGACCATTATTAAATTCAAATTTGCACTGAAATGACCATAAAAATAATCTTTTACCAAAATTTGTGTAACCCGTGGGAGAAGTGCAGGCATGTACTTCTTTTAATTTAAATATATTTGTTTTGTTCACTTGATTAATATATTAATTCTAAATTATATTTTAATTCAGATTTGACAATTTTATAAAGATTTTAATGTAGTTTCTGAATATATAAATTTTAGTTATTAAAACTGAATCAATTATCGATAAAGATGATGGTTGACCATAAAATGTTATTTTGTGAAACAATTTAGGATAAAGGTATAATAAACTAACAAATAAAAGCATTAGTCTAGTACCATATCATACTTCAAATTGAGGAGTAATTAGATAGAGACACCAATTTTACTACTATGTGATCATTAACATTATTTTCAAAAAAGGATGACACCTCATCCTTGAGGGTCTCAAACGCCGACCGGATGACACGATGAGAGAATGTAAATTGAACTATAATCACAATTTGACAGATAGAGAGTGTAGATTCGTCCTCGATACTTGCAGAGATCCTCTTATTGAGTAATCTCTCATCGCAGTTGTCGGGAGTCAAACCTGAGACTTAACCCTTATAACACTCCTTCCCTATCAGTTGAGCTACGACACCGGTATCATTAACATTATTTGAATGACTATCTCCCTAAGTTCTCCATGTTTCTGTCGGTTATTATTTTTGTTTGTTTTTCGATTGATTGGTTCTCTCTACCTCCCATGCCATCTCTTTCTCTCCTGTTTTGTCTCTTTTGTTTTTTGTTGTTTTGCTTTTTGTTTGTTGGTTTGAATTTGCTCCTTTGACCATTAATTAATAACATACGTATGTAGTAATACGCCAAATATATGGTACAGCCGGCTGTACCATGAGCATGGTACAGCCGACATTTTTGTAAAATAGCTTCAATTCTAAGGGCAACAGTTAGTTGGTTCACTGTTCGTTGTTTTTCTGCCGGCATGCCTACGGTGCGTCGGTGCCTGCTCGTTGGTTTTTCTTCTTTCTGAGTTTCTGCTATCTTTCTTCTTTTCTTTGTTTCCTCGTTTTTCGTGCTTGCTTGTTTGACTTTTCTTTCTTTTGTCTTTTTGCTTTTATTTTGTTTAGGTTTTGGTTTTTTCTTTAACAATCTTTTATTTTAATTTTATTTTTATTTAATTATCATTAAAATATATTGTATAAAATATATTGTATAAAATACTACGTATTATTTAATGTTTGAGTATCACCAAAAAAAAATGTTTGAGTTTGTTTATATTCTTTTTCGATCACCCTTCTAACTTAATTTTTTTAAAATTTGTGCATTAAAAATATTTTAGGTATTAATGTTTATTTTTCTATTTTTAATTTAAGATGAATATTCATTAGTTTATTAAATATTGTGTGTTATTACTAACATGAGTTTTGTGTTATACTAAAATGAGTATAGTATAAAATAAATGTGCATGAGTAAATATTATAAGAACAACACAGTTATATTTGCCATTCAAGAAAAAAAATTATAAATTATTTTTAATATAACACGTTTAGGTTTCTCATTGTTATATACTTCGTATAATGAGAGTTTATTAAATCGTTAATAACGCATATACTAGATATACACATTATAGAAAAGAGTTTATGTTATATTCGAATGAGTATATCGATTAAAAGAAATGAGCATACACAAATGAATATTAGAACACAATAGAGAATTCAATTGAACTTTTGAACATTTCGATGCTCATTTTTTAAATTAAATATGTTCATCTGGTATTGATGTTATGCTCATTATAAAATGTCATATCAATACATATTTTAAAACATCCATATTACATTAGATTTCCATGAGATCGAGTTGATTATAGACACGAGAGTAGAGATTATTATACTTAATTACATACTTCTAATATTCAATAGAAAAAGTTAGATGCTCAATGAAAATGTCTTGGTGATCAATTAACAAAGTTTATTATTTTCATACCAATGCTCATTTTATATGATACATATGCTCAATTGGCACCGATGTTATGCTCATTTTTAAAATGTCATAACAATGCATATTTCAAAAGTATCATATTACATTAGACTCGCATATTCAAATTCATAGGAATTGATTATAGATATAATTTAATGAGATTTTATAAAAGAAAAAAATAAGAAAAAGAAAGTGTATTACATATATGAAGTTGATATCACAATACTCATTATTCGACTCTTAGTGCTCAATAGAATACGTCTGATGCTCATTAGTCATTAAAAGTGTGTTAATGCTCATCTAACGAAAACCAAGATTTTCACTGAAATTACGAAAATGCCACCGTTTTTTAGTTGTGATATCAACTTTCTTGTAATAACACGGTGCTCATTATTGGACGCTTAATACTCATTAAGATTGAACTATTGCTCATTCACAGTACATTAATGCTCATTTAGCAGAAACCGCGATTTTCACATTAATTTCAAAAATGCCACCGAACTATTTTGCTATTTTTCACTTGGGCCTGTTACTGGGCCGGCTGTACGGTGCTCACCGTACAGCCGGCTGCACCATATACGTACTCGTAGTAATACGTACTCAAATACTTCGTACAACGTATATTCTTTTTCCAAAATTTATCATTCTCATATACTCCCATACGGCCATACGGCTATACGCTTATACTAGTGAAAGTTACTTTCTGTAGACGGATATTTATGTAATAGTACCCCGTATCATATAACGCTCATATGCTATAAACGAGCAGGATTGCTATAAGTTTGACCATTTTAATATTTTCAGAAAAGGGCGGAGCCAGGACACTGGGCTGGACTGATTTTGACAACCTCGTAACCCTGATATTGGCGTACACTCGACTATCTTTTTAAAACAAATTATAAGGCTAATGTGGAATATTTAGCTAGGATTGACTTAAATACAAGGCAAAAATAACGACATGTAAGATAAAATCGAGATTAGGAGGTTGTTGATGGGTTGTTATGACTCATCCAATTGTTTTTTATAAGTAGACGTATTTATTTGACACTTTATTGTGTACATGCTCTTATGTGACGATTTCATTATAGTAGAAGGTCTTACTTGACATGTTTTCCTAATTTATATGTAAAATAACTTAATAAGTATGTGGTTTACGATTTATCTTGGATATAAGCCCGAATAAGCGTGTCGCTCATAGGCCCATAAATGGACAGGACCGGCCCTGGCTCGATCACATGATCTTTACAACTTAAATATAGAGAAGAATGTCACACACACATATACATATATATGTGTGTGTACACATATATAGAAGTCGGGCCACGGGCGTATGCAGCCTTACGTAATACTACGTATAATTTTTGCGCGTGCATTAACTAACTTTCACGTAATATAATGAGGTTTGATGTTCTTTTAACTCATGAAAGTTAATTAATGTACGTACAAAATTTATACGTAGTATTACATAAGGCTGCATACGTCCCACTTCTTCTTACCCCACCATAGGTAGGAGGCTTTGCCACATTGTGATAATCAATGATGTATATCGAACATGAGTTCGACCTAACGCATTAAATCCAACTAGATCATGATCATTGGTCATTTTATGATTAATTGACAAAAGAGCTAGGTAAGCTAAATTATTGGACTACACAAGACTGACGAAGTAACCAAATAGTTTCTTCACCATTTTATCTTCATTTTGTCAGTTTCTCTATATGTTTCCTGGCCCTTTTTCTATTCTTCTGTCACGGTCTACACTTCTCAATACTTGAGTCTGGAAAATGTTCTATTGCGTCCCACGAATAACTCAATTTTGAGAACATATGAAAAGGACATGTTCATTATAAATACCCAAGCACTATCCCATAAGTGTCATATCCCAAGCTATCCGACAAAATTGAGAATATTGTGATCTTTCTTCATTGAACTTTTGTAACATTTGGCGCAATGTAAGTAAAAATGTAAAATAAAACAAAGTAAGCGTCAATTCTACGACTAGAA